GCAGCCCACGTCGTCCAGCACGATCGGGCCTGAGCCCTTTCCGAACCAGGCACTTCCTGGGGCCGACCTGGCCTCGCCACAGCCCAGCTGCCTGCACACCACGTTGGCATTGTTGATGTCCCACCCATCGTCACACACGGTGCCCCAGGAGCCTTGGTAGAGGACCTCCACGCGGCCCTGACATGAGTCACTGCCGTTCACCAGCCTCAGGGCCAAACCCGAGTCGTTCCCGAATCCTAGAGGACGGCACAAGGACACCTCCTCCATGTCTGTGCTGAGCTCCAGGCCAGAGGTAGGTTCTAGATTCAGGGCCTTCCTCAGGCCACGCCCAAGGGCAGGCGGTCATCTTTGGACACCCCAGGGTTTCATATCCATCACAGGGAAAGGATCGAGGACATCCTGTCTAGCCAGGTCTAAGGGTACTCCTAGGTAGGGAGCCCCAGGATTGCCATGCGGTTAGCTGGACTGCACCCAGCATCCACCAGGGCCACCCAGGGTGCAGATTTAAGGCTCTGGGGACAGGCCAAGGCCATGGCCTCTTGGGCCACATATTTCTTCTCCATGGTCCTGCCTGACTTGAGGCAAAGCCCTTGGAGAGGATGGGACCTCTGTCAGACATGAGAAGACAGAGACTCAACCTCCTGAGGCTGAGCCTGCACAGGGCTCTCAGCAGGTGCCGGGAGGCCTCCAGGGCTGACCCTGAACAACAGGGGAAGGTCCTGGCTGAGCCTCCTAACAAGCCCTCTAGAGACAAGTCACCAAACAACCATGTCAGACAAGGACCTGGTCAGAGACCCTGCTCTGGCCCCACCCCCCTAAGGGACAAGGATGAGGATGACCAATGTGGAGCCTCTTCCTGTCACGTCCATTCCAGGCGTGATTAAGATTCAGAGAGGGTCCCTGGGAGGGTGAAGGGTCCTGTACCTGTTGTTGTTTGAAGAGCAACAGGTGTGGATGGAGTTGTGGAAGGAGTTGTCCATGCGTCTGGAAGGGACAATGTAGAGAAACTTGGTGAGGAGGCCTCAGGAAAGGAGTCCTTCCCAAAAGGGTGGGTCGGTCAGGGTGACTTTCCCATGTGCCTCCTGCACGTGCTCCCTGCCTGTCCACAAGCCTGCCGCTCGGCTGGCTCATCCGGGTCGAAGGCCTGGGAGAGACCAGCCGCATCCCTCCACGTCTCTGACCGCCATATTCCACCCAAACAGAAGGCCTTTCCCATCTCTCCCCCATGAGCCAGGCAAGGACTGGTGGCTTGAGGTGTTGGCCTGACTCTGAAGTTTGGATACAAAGAGTCAGGGAACGGTGACTGAACCAGGAGGCAAGCACAGGTCCCAGTACCCTGAGGACCCTCATCACATGTTCACTGCCATCCCCGGGCACTGTCTTTGCCCCCTTGGGATGCGGGTATGACCATGCTGGCCCTCAGGGTGTGACAGGTGTGACAGGAGGAGAGAAGCCAGAAAACTGCTGTCCCGTCATCAGAAAGCCAGTGGGCATCAGTGTCCACTATCCCACAAAGCCCTCCTCAGCCTGGAGCCACGGGGCCACCTTCATGGAAGAGGAGGAACTTCTCTGACCATCGGCCACTCTCCCCCGGGATGGCCGCCGAGTATCTGATGAGAACTCAGAAGGAGGATGGACAGATGGGGTCCTTGGAATCCTCCCTTTAGTAAAGGAGACAGAGGGCAAAAGTGTGGCCAAGATGGGGTTCAAAGAGCCAGGGGTCAGCCGGAGATGGCCAACTGGCAAAGGGGGCAGGAGAGAGGGACATCCCAGGACAGGTGGCTGGGACTCACCTGGCCAGGTTGTAGAAGGCTGAGCAGCTGTGGGAAGAAAGGGACAGTCAGACACCAAACTCCCAGGTACCCAGCCCAGATCCCGGGTTGATGACCCTCAGCTTCCACACGCGGAACTGATTGCATGCTCATGCCCTCGGGGGGACACAGCAGTGCTGCCCTGCACCTCATAGTTCTTCCAAAGCCACGCCGTCTGTCCCTTTGCCATGGCCTGCCTCCCTGAGCCTGAGGACTCCTGTCCAGTGTACGGAAGCCAGAGTCATGCCTGGGACAGGCCACCAGTGCTGGGCATCAGTGTCCACTATCCCACAAAGCCCTCCTCAGCCTGGAGCCACGGGGCCACCTTCATGGAAGGGGAGGCACTTCTTGACCATCGGCCACTCTCCCCCGGGACGGCCACCAACTATCTGATGAGAACTCACAAGGAGGATGGACAGACGGAGTCTTTGGATTCCGCCACCCCCATAGTTAAAGACACAGAGGGCAAAAGTGTGGTCCAGATGGGGTTCAAAGAGCCATGGGTCAGCTGGAGAATGCTGACCAGTAGAGGTGGGCAGGGGAGAGGGACATCCCAGGAGAGGTGGCGGGACTCACCTGGCCAGGATGTGGTGGTCTGAGCAGCTGTGGGAAAAAAAGGACAGTGAGACACCAAGCTCCCAGGTGCCCGGCCCAGGTCCCGGGTTGATGACCCTCAGCTTCTACACAGGAAGCTGACACAACCCCATAGTTAAGGAGACAGAGGGCAAAAGTGTGGCCCAGATGGGGTTCAAAGAGCCAGGGGTCAGCCGGAGAGGGCCAACCGGCAAAGGGGGCAGGAGAGAGGAACATCCCAGGACAGGTGGCTGGGACTCACCTGGCCAGGTTGTAGAAGGCTGAGCAGCTGTGGGAAGAAAGGGACAGTCAGACACCAAACTCCCAGGTACCCAGCCCAGATCCCGGGTTGATGACCCTCAGCTTCCACACGCGGAACTGATTCCATGCTCATGCCCTCGGGGGGGACACAGCAGTGCTGCCCTGCACCTCATAGTTCTTCCAAAGCCACGCCGTCTGTCCCTTTGCCATGGCCTGCCTCCCTGAGCCTGAGGACTCCTGTCCAGTGTACGGAAGCCAGAGTCATGCCTGGGACAGGCCACCAGTGCCCTGGTGTTGACCCCACAGAACGAACAGGGAATGACCCCAACAAATGGAGTCAATCAATGTGCTCACTGATTTCTCAGCCTTGAAGCATTCTGATATTGAGAGCTTACAAAAATTTCTAGACTTTTCCATGTGGTCATAATGCGCCTATCCCAAGGCCCTCATTGGCTCCTTCCATTCATTGGCCACCTGCCATCTCCCACCTCCCCCTGCACCCTCTCACTCTCTCTGTCCTTCACACCTCTGTGCTCTCAGGTTGTCCCCTGTGTGTCACTATATGGGAGCCCCCAGGTGACACCGTCCTCACAGAGGGTAGGAGCTCACCAACCCCCACACCCAGGGAACAGCTGCCCTTGTGGAAGCCCCAGACACCCTGCTGGTGGAAGTGAGCTGGCCCCGGGGGCACAAGGGCAGGCTCCTATCTGTGCTCAGGACGCTGCCTCTTGTGCATGAACACGGAGCTCAGGCCCCTTCAAGCCAGTTCCTGGCACTGCCTTCAGGATGCAGGGCACATGGACCCACCAATCTGACCTGTAGTCTGAGCAGGAGACCTAGCACCTGGGTGCCGGCTGCCCTGAGGCACACCTGTGCCTGGGGGACAGTATGAGGCTCAGGGGGGCCCTGGCGTGGGGAGTGGGTATGGTCTCAGAAGCATCAGCCCAGAAGGGCCACCAGGAATGGTAGCGACGCACCTGAGCAGATGACTCCGGCGTCCTCCCCGTGGTTGCAGTTGTGCACGTTCCAGCCATTATGCGGGCAGCTCCACAGGTAGGACTCGTGCCCTGAGCAGCCCACGTTGTCCAGCACGATCGGGCCTGAGCCCTGTCCAAACCGGGCACTTCCTGGGGCCGACCTGGCCCAGCCACAGCCCAGCTGCCTGCACACCACGTTAGCGTCGTTGGTGTCCCACCCGTCGTCACACACGGTGCCCCAGGAGCCTCGGTAGAGGACCTCCACGCGGCCTTGACACCGGTCACCGCCATTCACCAGCCTCAGGGCCAGAGCCGATTCGGTCCCGAAACCTAGAGGACGGCACAAGGACCCCTCCTCCATGTCTGTGCTGAGCTCCATGCCCGAGGCAGGTTCTAATCTAGACTCAGGGCCTCCCTCATGGGCACACCCAGGGCAGGCGGTCATCTTTGGACACCCCAGGGGTTAATCTCCATCACAGGGAAAGGATCGGGGACACCCTGTCCTGCCAGGTCTAAGTGTGTTCCTAGGTAAGGAGCCCCAGGATTGCCCATGAAGTGAGCAGGACTGCCCCCCGCATCCACCAGGACCACCCAGGGTGGAGGTCCATGGCTCCCGGGACAGGCCAAGTCCATGGCCTCTTTGGCTACTTATTCCTTCTCCATGGTCCTGCCCGACTTGAGGCAAAGCCCTCAGAGGTGATGGGACCTCTGTCAGACATGAGAAGATAGCGACTCACACCCTGAGACCAGGCAGTATTGGGGTCTCAGCAGGTCCCAGGAGGCCTCCAGGACTGACACTGATCAACGGGGTAGGGTCCTGGCTGAGCCTCCTCCCAGAAGCCCACTGGAGACAAGTCATAGGCCAACCATGTCAGACAAGGACCTCTGAGCAGATGACACCAGCGTCCTCTCCGTGGTTGCAGTTGTGGGAGTTCCAGCCCCTGTGCGGGCAGCTCCACAGGTAGGACTCATGCCCTGAGCAGCCCAAGTCGTCCAGCACGATCGGGCCTGAGCCCTGTCCAAACCGGGCACTTCCTGGGGCCGACATGGCCCAGCCACAGCCCAGCTGCCTGCACACCACGTTGGCGTCGTTGGTGTCCCAACTGTCGTCACACACGGTGCCCCAGGAGCCTCGGTAGAGGACCTCCACGCGGCCCTGACACCGGTCACCGCCATTCACCAGCCTCAGGGCCAGAGCCGATTCGGTCCCGAAACCTAGAGGACGGCACAAGGACCCCTCCTCCATGTCTGTGCTGAGCTCCACGCCCGAGGCAGGTTCTAATCTAGACTCAGGGCCTCCCTCATGGGCACACCCAGGGCAGGCGGTCATCTTTGGACACCCCAGGGGTTAATCTCCATCACAGGGAAAGGATCGGGGACACCCTGTCCTGCCAGGTCTAAGTGTGTTCCTAGGTAAGGAGCCCCAGGATTGCCCATGAAGTGAGCAGGACTGCCCCCCGCATCCACCAGGACCACCCAGGGTGGAGGTCCATGGCTCCCGGGACAGGCCAAGTCCATGGCCTCTTTGGCTACTTATTCCTTCTCCATGGTCCTGCCCGACTTGAGGCAAAGCCCTCAGAGGTGATGGGACCTCTGTCAGACATGAGAAGACTGCGACTCACACCCTGAGACCAGGCAGTACTGGGGTATCAGCAGGTCCCAGGAGGCCTCCAGGACTGACACTGATCAACGGGGTAGGGTCCTGGCTGAGCCTCCTCCCAGAAGCCCACTGGAGACAAGTCATAGGCCAACCATGTCAGACAAGGACCTGGTCAGAGACCCTCCTCTGCTTGTCCAGAGGGACAAAGATAAGGATGGCTCATGGGGAGCCTCTTGCTGTCACGTTCCATCCAGGCGTGATTCAGAAGAAGAGAGGGTCCCTGGGAGGGTGAAGGGTCCTGTACCTGTTGTTGTTTGAGGAGAGGCAGTTGTGGAAGGAGTTGTCCATGCATCTGGAAGGACAACAAAGAGAAAGGTCTTAATGAGGCCTGAGGAAAGGAGTCCTTCCCAAAAGGGTGGGTCAGTCGGTGTCACTTTCCCATGTGCCTCCTGCACGTGCTCCCTGCCTGTCCACAAGCCTCCAGCTCAGCTGGGTCATAGGGTTCGAAGGCCTGGGAGAGACCAGCCACATCCCTCCACATTTCTGACCGCCATGTTCCTCCCATCGGAGGACCTTTGCCATCTCTCTCCCATTAGCTAGGCACTTACTGGTGGCTTGAGCTGTGGGCCTGACTCTGAAGCTTGGATAGAAAGAGTCAGGGCCTGTGACTGAACCTGGAGGCAATGACAGGTCCTGGTACCCAGAGGACCCTCAGCACATGTTCACGGCCATCCCCGGGCACTGTCTCCGCCCCCTTGGGATGCGGGTGTGACAATGCTGGCCCTCAGGGTGCGGCAAGTGTGAGAGGAGGAGAGAACCCAGAAGCCTGCTGTCCCGTCATCAGAAAGCCAGTGGGCATCAGTGTCCACTATCCCACAAAGCCCTCCTCAGCCTGGAGCCACGGGGCCACCTTCATGGAAGGGCAGGCACTTCTTGACCATCAGCCACTCTCCCCTGGGATGGCTGCCAGTATCTGATGAGAACTCACAAGGAGGATGGACAAATAGAGTCTTTGTAATCCCCCCAACCCCATAGTTAAGGAGACAGAGGGCAAAGTGTGGTCCAGATGGGGTGCAAAGGGCCATGGGTAAGATGGAGAGAGCCGACCGGCAGAGGTGGGCAGGAGAGAGGGACATCCCAGGAGAGGTGGCGGGACTCACCTGGCCAGGATGTGGTGGTCTGAGCAGCTGTGGGGAAAAAAGGACAGTCAGACACCAAGCTCCCAGGTGCCCGGCCAAGATCCCAGGTTGATGACCCTCAGCTTCTACACAGGAAGCTGACGCAGTGCACATGGCGTCATGGGGGACACAGCAGTGCTACCCCGAACCTCCCAGTCCTTCCAAAGCCACTGCCTCACTCCCCTGCCATCGCCTGTCTCCTTGAGCCTGGGGACTCCTGTCTAGTGTATGGAAGCCAGAGTCATGCCTGGGACAGGCCATCAGGGTCCTGGTGTTGACCCCAGAGCGAGAACGGGTAATGACCCAACCCAATGGGGTCAATCAATGTGCACATTGATTTCTCAGCCTAGATCCATTCTGCTAAACGGAGTTTCCACCCATTTCTAGACTTTTCCATGGGGTCATAATGCCCCATCCCCAAGGCCCCCATTGGTTCCTTCCATTCATTGGCCACCTGACATCTCCCACCTCCCCCTGCTCCCTCCCACTCTGTCTGTCCTTCACAAAGGACCTCTGTGCACTCAGGGTGTCCCCTCTGCATCACTATCTTAGAGTCCCCAGGTGACACCGTCCTCACAGAGGGTAGGAGCTCACCAACCCCCACACCCAGGGGCCAGCTGCCCTGGTGGAAGCCCCAGACACCCTGCAGGTGGGAGTGAGCTGGCCCCGGGGGCACAAGGCCAGGCTCCTCTCTGTGCTCAGGACGCTGCCTCTTGGGCATGAACACGGAGCTCAGGCCCCTTCGAGCCAGTTCAAGGCACTGCCTTCAGGATGCTGGGCGCTGGACACACCTATCTGACCTGTATTCTGAGCAGGTGACCTAGCACTTGAGAGCCTGTGGCCCTGAGTCACTCCAGTGCCTGGGGGACAGTACGAGGCTCAGGGGGGCCCTGGCGTGGGGAGTGGGTGTGTTCTCAGCAGCATCAGCCCAGAAGGGCCACCAGGGACGGGTAGGGACGCACCTGAGCAGATGACACCAGCGTCCTCTCCATGGTTGCAGTTGTGGGAGTTCCAGCCCCTGTG